ACACATCCGTTGAGCCCTCAGTCAAAACATTCCCTCACGAAATCTGCCACACTCGTCAAGAATAGGACAAGTTTCTCATAGGGGGTGGTCCCGTTGCGGAGTGTCCATTTATAGTTTGGTTACATCGGTATTCGAGAAACCTAGCAGGAACAGTGTGCATAAACGGCGGCAGAGGCCGAAATTGGAAAGCGAAGACCTGATTTGTCGTAGCTTTATCCCACCGAGCGATATTAGTTTGGGAGGATCCAGAACAAAGACGGAAGATTGGTAACGAACTTTTCATAGGTTTTACGTCTCATGACGATTGGCACGCTTGGCAGATGATAGCGCTCGAAATATTTCTCCGTTATGTAATTCTTGCAAACAGTGTTCTCAATAGCAATGTAGAAGAAATTCATCGATCCCAAATCCTTTTCGCATTCAGCTGACCGAGCGCATGCATCACGTTTATACGGGTTTTCGGCGCATGCTCCGTATTTATCAATCATTATGTACCTAAAAAAAAGGAAAACAGTACAACCGATAAAATAGCGACGTTTAGAGCATTACAACGAGCGAGTATGAAGAATACCAGAACTGCCTGCTGCTGCTAACGGAGTCCCTTCTGCAAATGCTATGGACAACGGGAAGAATGGAATTTTTCACTTTCACTATCCTCGGATCCTTCGAATCGTGACGTACTAAACATGACACTACTGGTCCTCGTATCCCATTCAGCAACTGGAGCATTTAGCACATATGCAATAATACTAATAATTTGCGGGTCGTTAGAAGGTCGAAATGTAATCTTAGAAACAAGTGGATGGTCCAGAGCAAACAAACTGTGAAGCGGCCTGAGTCCGAAAATTTAAGAATGCAAAATTTATATACATACCGCTCTGTACTGTCTAACGCTACTATCATATGCATGTACATTTCGCTGGATTTTTGCGAATATGCGCGCCACCGCTTAGATGTGAAGGTTCCATGTTTTAAAAAAAACAGTTCCATGTTAAGAAAAAAACAGTGTTTCTGGAATGCTGCTACACTTTTTCGCTGATACCACTCACTGATATAAAATCTTCTGCGACTGTAAGCAAGGCCGGCAATATGCTCGACACCGAATATTACTTTTCGCGTATCCACAGTGATGTTTTGTGCATCAGTTAAAGAAGGAATAACTAAAAAAAGACTAACTTTCCCAGTTTTTCAACAGCCAATTCCCGTTTTGAGACCGTATTACAGTTAGACACCAGCCAAAATATTGCGCCCGTCTTATTCTCCAAAATTGTTTGTTCATCAAACGGCAAATTTTCCGGTGTAAAACCAAGTTCCTTACTCCGTTCTGGACTGACCCAATAACCACCGTAAATCCATGGGACATCCGAATCATAACGATAAGTCATCGTCCAGTTGAAAAAGTTGGCTGCAAATCAAAACTGTACAAAAAAGCATGAAAAAGGGTTCCTCTGGCGAATTTTTATGGACATGGATAACCTGTGCCGCCAAGCAACAGCTCCTTACATGGTGTATATAACGCAAGATCAAAAAAATTAAAGATAAAGATAATCTAAGTAATGATATAGTGAATAACCAAAGAGAAGCAAAGGAGTGAGATAGCATATTTTTCGCTGAATTACATGCTAATAAAGCAGCTTTCATATGAAAAAACTACGGGCTTCTACCTAAACAGTGATGTAATATGCTATTATTCTAGGTATTTCCAAACATCTCAGAACACAGGCGGATCCAGGACGGACTCCTGGGGGAGGGGATGCCGAGCAGGAAAGCGTGGGAGTGGGACTCCTTGCGTGGCGATGGGCCGGGGAAGGGGGGGGAGGGGGGGAAGGAGCGGGAGAAAAAGTAGGGCGCCTGGGCGGAACGGGGAAGGACTATCAGAGGTGGGGGAGCTTACTTTAGTTTTAGCTTCAGACCCGGACCTTTTGCACTACTGGTGCTTGTCCCGCTGAGATGAAAGACCCATCCCGTTCCTTCTGGATCCGCCCATGCCCCAGAATTACGCAAAAAATGGAATTCCGCGAAAGAAATTTCACTTTCAACAACATATCAATTTACAGGTTCCGTTAGTGACCGAAAATGACTAGCAGCGCAAGTTGCTCAGTTGTCCATGTGGATTATTCGATAAATGCTAATAATGCATAATAAGTATTGCAGACAAACCAGGTGTACGAAGATTGCGTCTGCTCTGAAGAATGCGATAACTTGGTGGTGCTTCCACTGTCAGGAACACATATCGCTGTGATGGATGACGCACTTTCGGGAGATCGTCCAACAGGAAATCATGATCCATATAGTGAAAAACAATTGCATCAGCACTATCAGCAAGTTGTCGATCGTCCGTTAAGTAACATTTGTCCTTTAAAAAAAAACACTGCGTTAATAAAAACCATTTAAAAAAAAAGTTAAGGAAACCTCTCTCATGCTCTGTTTTTCGATAGTTCATGCTCTGTTTTCGACAGTTACGGCACTTTTCCAGAGGTAACCATTCACTGGCACAGCTCTCGATGGCTTTCTCTTCTAAGACAGTAATAATTACAGTGTTGAGTTAAGATCTATGTGACTTGATGGACCGAAAAGTCTTATCTCATCCTTGCCCCCTTTTCTCACTCTTTTCTGCTTTCTGTATTCAGTACGCCATTGACATTTTGGCACCCAAGGTCAGCCTGGACACTACATTCGGCTTACAACACTAGAGAATGACTTAATTCTTTAGCATTTCAAAATAGCCAGTAACAAAGTAAATTTTTTTGAAAAAGTCAAAGAAAAGCAATGGAAATGATCCTCTCCCATTGAAAAATCACCGAATTAGCTGCCAAGTTCTTTCATATTTACTACGACCGAAATATAATTACTGTCTGATAAGCATGAAGTTCATCAAAAGTTGAAAAAAAAAAAATCTTACGATCAAATCCGGGCATTCATCGAGCAAATGCATACGATTTCGTGGATGTTGCTTGAAAAATGTTGTCCACATAATCATCAATTTTTGT